ATCCAAATAATCCTTATTAGCTGTTTCGCTGCAACTTAATTTTCTGTGAAGTAGGAGGCAACGTAGCTATTGATTAGGTTCGTGTTCTTTGAATGTTCTGTTAACTGGTCACCTTAGCTTTCAGCAGTGGACCCAAAGCTTCCTTGTTTTTCCTTTTCTGACCAGTATATTTATAGAACCTCTTCTTATTAACTGTAACTTCTCTTGCCGGGTGAAACTCTTTTTTCACCTTTGCCACCTTGATTTTGTTCCTGCAGGTTCTTGCTATTTTCTGCTATATTTACTTGGTGACCTACCCATCTTTTCATTGTCTGTATGCTGTATTATGAGGCATCCTGGAAGTTTGCTGTGTAGCCACATAGGTGTGTTGCCACTCTTTTGTGCTCCCATTGTGTTGGGAACCTCAACAAGACGCTATTCTTTTACAAGCTTCCAGAGCCCCTTTTATCCTTCAGTTTCTCCTTCCGCGGCACCATACCTACTATCTCCTTGAATCAGTTGAAATCCAATTTTTTGAAATCCAGTGTCTTAGTTCTGCTGACTTCATGCTTTCCCTGTCATGAAGTTTATGAGCAAACAGCTATTCTGGGATGGATGTGGAGAGACAATAATTAAACTGATGCAATTTACACAATAGTTTTACCCCAGATTATTTCAGGGATAATTCTTCACCAAGCTACTGTAGTTTTGGGGTGTATATTGTCTGTTTGCAATTTTTCACACCAGTGTGTTACTGATTCGCTGGTGTAACCATGTCATCTGTTCATGCCTTCAGCTATTCTTTGACCATTAGAGGTGGTCCCTTCAGGACAGGGGTAAAGATAGTTGGACCTTGAAAGAGACAGAAGATTTATTTCTTGAAACATCCAGAGATTTCAAAATGTGTTTTATTGCATATTAGAGTTAAACCTTGAAGTTTTGAAATTCCTTACAAAGGAAAATAATTTAGTTTCAGAACGATCAAAATTGCTTTGATTTAATTCTCTAAAAAAATACACACAATTAAAAAGTTCAAAAGAAAAATCACCTCAGAATGATGCATTTCATTTGGAAAATGTTGGAAAGAATTATTTTGACCTTGTCCAGACTTTTTTTCCGAAGCAAAATTTATATTAAAAAGTGACACAATTTTGTGGAGTATTTCAATAGGCTTGGTTTTCTGAAGACAAATAGTTTGGCTTATGTTTTTGCAACTAGCTCTAGGTAAAGCATGTTGTCAAGAAGGTAAAGAGGAGGCTTGCATTGTGTTTGCCTTTTGCTATATGTACTCTGTGGTTGAGAGAAGATTTCTAGTTCCAGTATTGTTGGTCTGAAATATATTTCCTGGACACCAAATTAATTAAAAAAGAGCTTTTAAGCATGAAGGAGGGAAATAAAGAAGTAGTAGTAATATTTAACATACCTTTAAATTTAACTGCCTTCACAGTGATTCACCATTTTTCAACAAAACAGAGGAGAATCAAAGCAATAAAGGAAATGGCCAGGGTGTTGATGCCTGGAGGCCAGATGATGATTTATGTTTGGGCTATGGAACAAAAGAATCGTCGCTTTGAGAAACAAGATGTATTTGTCCCTTGGAATAGGGCCTTGTGCTCCCGGCCTTTTTCCGAATCAAATCAGACTGGGGATAAGAATGAACTTAATGCTAAGAATCAGGATATACACCTAAAACAATTTACAGGCTCTGAGTGCACTTACACAGTTAATCCTAAACTGGATTTTGATTCAAAACATTCCCACAGTACAGACCATTGCTTACCGGGAACCTGTTGCATGAAAATGTCTGAAGAAGAAAACAGATTCTATAGGGCACTGGGGAGATCTTTTCGTTTGTGGTTTTTCTCTAGATCCCTTGATGAATCAGCCTTGCGAAAGCAACCTGAAAAGGTGAAGCAGGAGAAGAACATAGGCAGATGGACAAATAGTGCAATATCCATTCAGCCTTCAAGGCACTGCAGTTTAGATTTAGGTCACCCTGGGCCATTGTTAAAAGAACGAAGTTTAGATGATGATGAAGTGTTTCTGGAAAATGTCTCTCTTGGGAAAACACAATGGATGGCAGCCTCAAATGTAACAAGATCTTTAAGTGGAGAGCATGACATTCAGAGCAAGCATGAAGAAATATCATCATTAAGTGGTCCTATGGAAGACAAAGATTGCAGCTGTACTTGTAAGAAGGATGAAGATGATAAGTCTCCAGCTAGCAAACTCTTTAAAAGAACTTCAACAACCGACTCTACTGATTCAATTTTGGATGCAGCAGTGGCTGTTGGAGATCAGACTACTGGCACATTGGATACAAAAGCCTTCATGCGTTATTACCATGTTTTTCGGGAAGGGGAGCTATGCTGTCTAGTAGGAGAGAATGTGCCTGAGCTTCAGATTCTTTCTTCTTGTTATGATCATGGGAACTGGTGCATAATTGCAGAGAAGTTAGGAAAATCACTGCAAACAGAACAACACAAAAACTTCAAGGTTGCGTAATTTGAGCTGCTGCATGTATTCTTGTGATTGTGCAAGGTAAAATGGAATTTCTGTCTTGTATAGGTGTGTGCCATCCATTCCTGATTTTGCTGTGTATATTTATTTATAAATACTGTAAATAAGAATGTATGTGGCAAATGACACTTACATTTTGTTAAAGATAGGCTTTTACAAAGTTCAAACCTGAGAGTTTTATATTGCTTTTAGCAAATGTCTGAGTTTTTAAAATGTATTTTTATTAAAAAAGAGAGAATTTTTATAAGATAAGGATCGGGGCATCTCTTATGATAAATATTCCCCTTGACAACAGTGAGGCTTGGTCCTGCAAACACTTAAGGGTGTGTGTTACTTTACTCACTATCCCCCTGATTCTACAGTCCCATGCTTCTAAGATGCCTATTTGGGGACTTAAGCACATGTTTAAAGTTAAGCATGTGCTTAATTACATTACATTACTGTAGTTCAGAATGATCCCATGATACTTTTATTATTGTTGGTAAAGTTCATTCATGGGCATAAGCATTTGGAAGATCAAGCCCTGAGTAATTTATTACTCGTTTTTCACAGTCTGGAGAAAATGAGTCAGCTGCATGTGATCAAGATTTTGGTTTTTTTTAAATAAATTAGTTTATACTTTGAGTTGGTATTCAGTCTTATGTATTCTCCATCAGAAAGAAATTAACTTATTTTCTATGGTTTTAGAAGTTGTTTTAGGTCATCTGTAAATAAAGTTTACCAAGACTAGTATTAATAACCCATTAACTAATTTAACAAGTAGGGAAAATCAGATTTATGTGATATGCATATACACAGGGGCTACATGAAATTAGTATGATTCCAATACATCATAGCTTAGTTCAAAACGATTTCTTGGCTATTATATTGCATCAACTCAGTTAGGTGACACGGTTTGCTTTCTGTTGTCTTAAACACGTTCAGAGAAATGCAGAGGCAGAAGACTTGAGTTCAAGAAATACAATCCTGTATTTTCTCACGTACTTCATGAATCTTTTTCCCCAAAATCAGCCCCTGAAAATTGGGCTGTGTGTTTTAAGTGAGGAGACTGGTTTCTTCACTGGAAAAGCAGTGTGCCTTGAGACATTATGCAGACCATGCAGCTGTCAAGATGGCCGGTGCTTGTGTTTGCTCAGCAAATTGAAGGGGCAGCCTCTTGTGTTAACCCTCTCACAGCCATAGCTTTTGACTGAGCACTGTAGCTTGTGCTTAAAGTAGCAAGTGAAGTGCTGGTAGTATTTTGATGAGTCTTGTTATGTGAAACAGCACTTTATTTACAGGAGCTTATGTAAAAAAAACCCGACTTATAGTAAAGAACTAACAGTCTTGCTACTGCCCTTTGAAAGGGTTTGGGATCTAACTTGTGTGACATGGAGTGAGTCCTTTTGGGAACGTAGAGTGTCCTGGATGTGTGGCATTACAGAAGACAGTCTGCCACCTGAAAAATTTCCCAATGCCACACCTCCTGGACCTTTTTATGTTTCCCATTATGACTACTTCACACAGTTAGTCATCAAGCTGTAAAAAATATTTTTTCTATATTTTGCCTTCCAAAGATGAGGTGCATGTTTTATTTGGGGAGGGGTGCGTGTTGTATGTGATAAAATACAGTATTGGGAATTGGATCAAAAAATCCTTAAAATCCATGTCTTCCACATTTGAAAAGGAACAGTCCCTGATGTCTCTTGGTGATGGAAACCAAAAAAAGCCTACAGCATAATTTTGATAACTTTCTTCCCGTAGTAAAATGCAACTTATTCACAAGGGTAAGTTTGCTGAGTGCACTGTTCAATCATACAGCCATTGTATTGTAGTACACCACCTTTACTCATGCTGAGCAGCATTTGGCTCCTCAAGTAACCTGATTGAATGCAACCAGCAATAGATTGTAACATAAAGTTGTATGTCACATGAGGAAGAACATAAAAATCTGGTTCATTGGTTCAATAGCAAAACTGGATTTGCTATCAGGAGAGCAGGGTTAGGCGATCAGGACCTCTCTGCCTACATTTAGTCACTGCATTCCTAGGGCTAAATACTGCATGCAGGCGGTGGAATTACACTGGTGAAAACTGGTCCATTGATTCTACTTCTGTCAGTGAAGCTTAATCAATTCACACTAGTTGAGGTTCCGGCCCTCTGTATCTGCAGCTTTTTAAGTGAGAAAATAATTTGACCCTCATAATTAAATCGTCCAGGACGTTACTGGAGATGCTTAGTATATAGGAGTCTTAACAGCAGCAATGAAGTAGCAAGCCTGCTGTAAGTGCTTTCAAAACTTTACCCAGGTTACCATATGTAAGTTGAGAGTTCTTGGGTTGTTTAGTTGTACACTTGGATGGAAAAGAATACTTCCCTATGTAGCTGCCTACTAGTAATTTACATTTAATAATATACATTCCTATGCAAATGTTGTCTTAATAGACCAACCTTCATTGTTTTTCCTCATTGACCAGATTATGTTTATCTGTACCACTGTATTCCACCCCCACCTCCTCCCCCACTTTGTTCTAAAAATGCAGAAGGAAGTAACTATGTCATTCCTTCCCCTGCCAAAAAATGAAGTCTGCCCTAATGGTGTAAACACCGAACCAAAGCAAAGATTATTTAGCTCCTGGGACTCTTTCTAGCCTAATGGGGCACAGGGCCTGCATCAGCTGAGCCACAGGCTGCATGGACATTCCTCCACACCCCTCTCCTTACTGTATCATGTGTTCACATGGACACCCCATACTCTACCACTGCACTGGGTGTCCCACCACCCATTGTACTGCATAGGCATGTGAATGCAGCTCTTCTCTTCCTGCCCCTCCCCCTGCCCCTCGTGCTGCAGAGTGTGGATGTGTGAGCACAAATCCCCTCTGTTGTAATGCATACCTTTGTGGTACCCCCTCACCATTGCACCAATTGTGCAACCCTGTTTCTGCCCCCCCTCCCCACCCCCTACTCCATGCATGGCTGCAGAGTCACCCTCAGCTCCCCTTGCTTTTCCCTGCACTGCCCTACCCCCTGGGGTAGAGACAAGAAACAGAAGCCAGAGGAGGGTGGGGGAGCCCACAGACTTTGGTTGCTGTTGTAGGTAGGCAGGAGCCTGGGGGTGCAATTTAATCCTCTGGGCCACCAGTTGGACAGCCCTGGCCTAAGGTTAGGAAGTCCGATTACATTTTTAAACTTGGTTGCCTCCAGATGGATATTTCCTTGGGACTCTGAGTGCTCAAAATCCATGGAAACCAAGTCCCTGTTTTGTAGGGGTTTAATTATTCATTTAGCTATTTTTAGGCACCCGACTTTAATAATACACCCTTTATCTGGCTACCACAAGTTCCTTAGAAACTGGCATTATAAAAAAAGTAAGTTGGCAGCAAGTTTTAATTCATACAGAGCAAAAGCATTGCATTTTTGTTATCAACATTTTTGCAGAGTCTGTCCTGCAGTATTCAAATGTCAGATTTCAGCATGCAAACTAATTTTCACAAAATTAAGTAGTTTTTTCAACTCTTGCTTTTCCTTGGGTGGCATCTTCTTCTTGTGAACATCTAAATTAACTTTCTAAACTACAATTCTTCTGTTAGTTGGCTGAATGAGACCTGTCATGTCAGGTGTTTTTAAAGGTATTTGCTTTTGGTGTTACTGTGATTCTTGGTTTGAGCAGGTCCAGCCACATCATAGATATTCCCAATTATTATTTCTTATTTGATTTCTTCTTTTGGTTTTAAACTGTGACTGCTACATTGGACTACATATAAGGGGGACTGATGACACTATTTATCCTATGATCAGTTATTTTTTGGTACACTCCTCCCCTGGTTTTTTTCCCTCTGAGGCTACAAAGCCTTCATTTGACAAAACTCCTAACAGCTAGGGAGCAGCCAGATCATAAAACAGCATCCTGCTCAGCAGGTATTTGAATCAGACCTTTTCTTCCTTTATGTAAAGACTGGGTAAGGCTGTAAGAACTCATCTCTTCTCTTAATGCTTTTAATGTCTCTTTTGATTACCCTCCTTTATCTTGATCAGCATGACATTACCAAAAGAAGCCGCTTGTGATACTAAGGCCAATTATAGTCCACCTATTAAGTGCTTCAGTGGATTTAGGTGCTTAAGTATGATTCTGTTCCATCTTGCTTAAGTTGCTGAAAAACAATTAATGCAAAGATGGCTGGGTGCTCCTCTTCATTACTGCTTTTTTTGACTCACTCTTAAGGGTAGGATGACAGTGTGCTACAGAAATAGATGCTTCAGTGTATTTGAACAGGGTGGAACAGAATAGAATCACACTTAGGTACCTGAGTTCATTTACATGTCTAATGGGTGAATAGAATCTGGTCCCTAGTTTCATATTTTAGCACATTTAGAAAAGTGAAAATGCTATTGAGAAGTCCATAATTAACATTACATACATAAACTTCCTGCACATCTTACAAAACAAGACTTTCAGTGGGCACATTTATACGAGACATTTACTGCAGACATGACTAATTACCTCCACAGTAAACATCTCAGCATCTACATGTGCAATGCTATTAGGATGGAGTAAACTAATTAACTCTGCCACAGGTTAGTACTTGTAAATACAAGCATCATGCTGTGGCAGAGTTTTTTACTCCACAGCAATGCACATGTAGATGCTGATGAGCCTGGCTGGGGCACAAGCGTGCTTCAGTGCAGGGGCTTACTGCTAGCTAGCTCCTTACTGAAGCCTCCATGCCCCAGCCAACCCCTCCACAGCAAGTTGAGCTGGGTCAGAGCAGTCCCAGGCTGGCAGGCTGACCCTCAAGGCCACCTGCCAGCCAGGACTGCTCCACCCCAGCTCAATGTGCTGTGGTTGCAGGCACACATTCAAACGTGGCACCCAGAAGCAATAAACTCTGATGTGATATGTACTGGAGTTTATTGCTGTTCATTAATTGCACATGTAGATGAGCCCAGTAATGACAAAACAGCAGGATTTGGCCCTTGAGATTATGTCTGAATTACTTCCCAAGTGAACATGGGAGCAGCACTGAGAAACAAGCTCTGTACAATGCATGTGGGCAGGCTTACAAATTAGACAGTAAAGAAATCTTGGGATCAGGCCTAAGTTGCTTAGTGAGGCTTGCCCAGGTGCCAGACTCAGACTGTTCTGAGAGAGATGCTCAGGGCTGGTCCAAGGTGTCTATTTTGCTTTATTTACAGGTCTGAGCACATGCATAAAGGATTTATTTCTTGGTAGCCTTACCCCCCACCCCCGACTTATTCAGGCAATGGTATAGATGGTCCCTAAAATACAGGAGTAGAATTTGGATTTGTGTCTCCAGTTTGCACTGTATCTTTCCTAGGGGTAAAGTTTTGGCTCACTAGATTTTGAAGCCATTTTTAAGCCGTATTTGGAGACATCTTGGTCACACAATGAAAGATGCCCTGTTTCCTTCCTTTATAACTTGCTATTGAACATTGCCAGTCTGAATTGACTGAATACATGCTGCTATCTGGTTAACTCTTAAAATATGTAATCTAAATGAACACCGGCAATAAGAAAGAACATATCAGATTACAACTGAACAAACTTATTTTTTTGATGGAACTGTAAAATTACAATCTTTGATAAATGTCATTCTGCCTTTTTTGAAGTAAGTGTGAATA